GGCTTGATTTGATCTAGGACCAATTTGTTCATCTTTCTGTCAGTCCAAGATCCAGCCCAGAAAAGCTCTTCTCCATGTTTCAAAAGCATCAATTTTCTTCCTGTCACCTTTCTTCACCTTCTAGCTTTCACATCCATACACAGTGACTGGGAATACAATCATGTGGATGATCTTGGTCTTCCAGGCAAGCGCCCTTATACTGGATGATCTTTTTTTTTAGTTTCTTCATTGCTACCCTTTCAAGTCTCAGTCTTATTCTAATTTCTTGGCTGCAGTTTCCAGTTGCATTGATACAAGTCCTGCCAACGTACATTGTAAGTAGCAGTGGCGTATCTTGGCAGATGAGTGGATCCCCTCACCCCATTATTGGAGTTAATATAACATTGATTAAACACACACAGAGAGGGAGAGGAAGAGGGAGAGTTCTGAGAGAAAATTAACATACTAGAACATATGTTCCCTACTTCATTCCATATCTCTCTGTAGTGAAAAAGTTACCAGAAATATGGAGATGGCATTAGATATATGCAAGAGTATACTACTCTGATGGCATTGGGTAGGGTTAGGTCAAGATATACACAACTCCAACCAGACATTGTGGTAAGATGACCTAAGCCAGAGAATGTAAGTACAAGCCCCTCAAATCTTCCTGCTTGACAGACATAGAATCATATAGTTGGAAGGGGCCTAGACGGTCATCAGATACAACCCCCTGTTCAACGCAGGACTCGAGGCTCCCATCCAAATGCTTACCAGGCCTGACCCTGCTTAGCTTCTGAGATTAGGCAGCCCATTGGGTCCAACTCCCACTGTTGCTGGTGACCAGTTTACACCATTCCCACTCAGATGTCCAGGCTCTATTTGAATGACTCTAGTGTGTGAGAGCACATCACCTCCCTAGGCAGCTGTTTTCACTGCCATATTGCTCTGACCTTGAGGAAGCTTTTCCTGATATCTAGCCTGAATCTGGATTGTTGCAACTAAGGTTGATTATTTCATGTCCTATACTATGGTATCAGCAAGAAGAGATCTTGACCTTCTTCTTTGTGACAGCCTTTGAGATACTTATAGAGGGATATCATGGCTGAACATGCCCAGTTCTCTCAGTCTTTCCTCACTGGGCAGTGTCTCCAAACCCTGGATCATCTCTCTTGCCCTCCTCTGGACCCTTTCTAATTTTTCTGCATCTTTCTTAAATCTTGGTGCCCAGAATTGGGCACAGTATTCCAGATGAGGTCAAATTTGTGTGCATTTTTCAAAACCACACATTTTTTCACACACACTTTCAAATATATGCAAGCTGTCAAACACAGCATCAGGGCTCACTGAATCACACTGCAAGCCCAGAAATGTACAGACACGACTCCAGATCCATGTTTCATCTGAAAAGTATGAAGTGAGTGAACGGAAATTGATTTCTCATGTGTCCCTGTGCAAAGGTTATCCAGAGGCATGGACTGAGGTGTGACCTCTGCCTCTCCTTTTCTTCAAATCCAGGTGAAGCAGTGGGTTCCTGAACTGGTGGCCGGGTGTGCTAATGGACTGGATGAAAACCAACAAAATCAAATGTGATCCAGGCAAGGCAGAGGCACTGTTAGTGCATCGTTTATCTGCTAGGATAAGTGTCATGCAGCTTGTTCTGCCCTCCCCCTAAAGGTTCAGGTTTGTAGTTTGCGGATGCTCTTTGACCCAGTCTTGCCACTAGAGGCACTGGGTGACCTGGAGGGCAGAACCTTTTATCAGCTTAGGGTAATATATTAATTATACCCCTATCTGGACAGAGAAAGCCTAGCTACAGTCATCCCTGTGGTGGTAAATGACGCTCTGCATGGGGTGCCTTTGCAAATGGACTGGAAACTTCAGCTGTCCAAACTAGAGAGGCCACATTATTAACAAGAGCAGACAATGCGAACCTGTTTACACCAGTGCGTTGCAATCTGTGTGACTTCCAATGTGTTTCTCATTTCAGAGTTCTGGTATTAATTTTAAAATCCTTAATGGCTTCTTGTCAGATTGCTTAAAAGATTGTCTCCTCCCATATGTACCTACCTGGCCCCACAGTTTATCTTCAGAGGTCCTCCTGTGGGTGCCTCTTCTGAATGAGGCGAAGTGGACGGCTGCTATGCAGAGGTGGTACCCTGGCTGTAGGATGCTCTCTCCATAGAGACTTACCTGGTACCTAAGTCATAGTACTTTCGGAACCAGAAGAAGGACTTTTTCTCTGGGCATTTTAGTTCTTTAGTTTTGCTGTTTTTAAATCCGTTCAACCTTTACATTGCTGTTGGTCCTTACTAGGGTTGCAGTGATGCTTTTCAGATCTAGCTGTCTTCTGCTTGTCAGACTTCTTTTTGTGCTTGGCCCCAGCTTAGGATGCAAGCTGAGCCAAGAGGAAGTCCAGAGATGCTGTAGTTGTGCACCCAGCAACTTTCTTTCACAGCATTGCCAGAACAAACAAAGACCACAAATTATGTGCACAAGAGAGTAACCAAGTGAAACTCACAAACTTTTATATTTCCATTTGTTGTGAACCAGAACACTCTGGCAATAGATGGTATAGAAATGTAATCAGTGAATCCATCCACCCACCCCGATCTGAAGCAGGTAGCGGGTGAAAGCTGAGACAGCTGAAGGAAGCAGACCTGAAAAGGCATTAGAAGACAATTGATGCAGAGGGATTTTGCATTGGAAGAGAGGTGTGCTCAGGTCAATGAACTCCAGGAGCACTGATGCTTTTTCCGAACAAACCCCGTGTAGGGCTCAAGCTTCCCAAGTGGCAGAAATGTCATAGCTGGAGCTTTTCACAGTACTAAATTTCTATGTTGAGAAAAGGTCTAGCTGTTCCATTCCTGCCAGTTGCACAACCTTTAAAACATAGGAGGACCTTCGCTAGGGCCTAAGAACATGAGAAGCCACATATAGGCAAGTGAAGCTGCCATGCGTCTTTTGTGCGTGTGGCTCCAATAGGGATGTGCCTTCCACTGCATACTGAATGCAACAAAAGGGTCAAGCAAGCAAGGAGAACTACTTTCAGGAGAATGTGAACTGATGGAGAGAAAGTACACCTGTTTGTGTCTTACGTTGCCTTTTCTGTTCTATCTATGGTATAAGTTTAAAATGTTTTAATAAATAAATAAATAAATAAGTTGGTGCCCTACAACAGCAGAGGGTTGGACCTGATGGCCTCCTTGGCCCCTTCCAACTCTACTATTCTATGATTCTACAAATAGGAGTAGGGCTAGGAAAAAGGTTGGCTGCTGTCCTAAAGCAAGGGAGCTTTGGAAGGCAGGAGACAAGGCAGAAGCCAAGAGCCACACCATTGCTGTGTTTCCCAGATGTCTTCCCTACCTTTAAGAGATGCATAGAATAAAAAATTATGCCCAGTGCAATTTTTCTTGTAACACTCTGATGAAGAAAGGCACTTCTGGTGAAGTGATTGCTCCTACACCCATACACAATCAAGTATAAGAACAAAAGCAGTGTGCCGAGAAGGCCAGGTGCTCATTGCAAGCTATTTTGAATGAAGTAATTGCTTTTGCGGTGGAGAGAGGAAGGCCAAGCATGGCCTAGGTGGACCTGGGTTTCTCCAGCAAGGCTTGCGTAGCATGACAAGGTGAACCATGGGGTGACATTATGCCTCCTTCCATCTTTTTTGGGTGGGAGATCTGCTACCTGTGACCGATTCAAGGAGTGGTGGGGAATGTACTGTACATTCAAGAGGAACAAATCTGCCCTCCTGAATGACGAAGCCCTCTATGTGAATGTAACTGACAGGGTTGATTTCCCTCACATTCACATTTTTAAAAGAAGCCTCCACTTCCTTTTGCCCAGACATGGAGAACTTTGTGGATCTTGCAGTTTCTGATCAAAATTGAACTGACATGCAATTCGCCCCCATCCTTAGCTGACATCTGCCAGCATCCAGTCCCACCCATGGCTCACCACCACAGCGGTGTACCAGGTCCCAGAGAGGAAATGGAGCAATGCGTCCCTCCCTTCTTCCATTGCGTCGCCACTGGAGTATCGAGTGGGAGGGAGCAGGCTGTGAAGCGTAGATGGATGGTGCCCCCTTATGCACCTTGTGGCAAAGTGGGCGCCACAGCAGGGCCCAGTCTGGTTTGGAAATTATTTATTTGGTGCCACAGGTATGTCCCGCTTTTTCCCTCATATAAAGGGGGTGTGGGGGTGTGGGTACATTATCTGTCTTCACTCCCTTTTATGCTCACAACAATCTTGTGAGAATGTTTAGGCTGAGTTTAGACTGAGTTTAGACTGACTCAGTGAGCATCCTGGGCAGGTAGGGACTAGAATCCAGCTTTGCGTCCTCACCAGTATATCACACTGTCTCTCACTTGAAAAGGAATCAAAATGAACTGACCTATTTTCTGAATTTGGGATGTGGGGAGTCCTGTTCATTTGGTCCTTTGAGCACAGTTCTAAGCCTGGGTGGAGGAATTTGCTTTATCACCAATTTCTTAGCACAGTACAGCTGCTGGCATGTTGTCTGAACTAACTCCCTATTAGGGAAATTGCTATTGTGATCTTTTGTGCATGGCTTCTCTGATGTTACAGCAGATCGTTGGCTTGAAGAGCCACTGGCATGAAGAAGTCTCGACAAAAGACATCGGAACCAACTGTTGTGAAAGATGTAGCGTACATTGCTGCCTGCCCCGAAAAGAAAGAGTCAAATGTTCCTTGGCTGAGAAAAGCTTGGAAGCTGATTGGAGGAATGCAGCATCTTAAGTTTGGTTTTAGACATGGAGCATTATCTTAGGACTTTTCTTTAATAGTGACTGAAGCAGCTTGAAAAAACGTGTGCTGTTCCTGATTAGAGAGTTCTCCCGTTTCCCCCTTCCTGTCTTTTCTTTGGTTTTGGTGGGAGAGACTGCCCCTTGGGTGACCTGCTTTTAATAAGCTTCCCAGTCAGATCACATGAGTGAACTGTGCTCCCCCCTCCCTCGTCCTTTCCTCTTGCTCATTCACTCACTCACTCACTCACTCACTCACAGCCCGCTCTCTGTAGTCAAAGCAAGGATCAGATTCTCTGCCTTAGTAAAATATATATATATATCTTGGTGTGAATATTCAAGGAGAAGAAAGTGAAAAAGAAGAGGAGGGAAGGATCGTTGGAAAGGGCAAAGGAGAAAGAAGTCGATCATTTCAGGGGGGAAATAGGAACAGAAGGGAGTTGAATTTGCAGAGCAAAGGTGTAGAAAGCACAGGACTCTTCATCGTGGGAGAACGGAAGCCTGCGGAACGGAGACGGCAGATTTTGCAACTCAAAGTGAGTATGAGCGGGTTTTGGTTTGTTTTCAAAAGCTGTTATTCCCCTGCTGAACACTGTAAGTGGGAGACAGACGCACAGTAAAAGACAGACGTTCCAGAGGCTGTGTCTTCACCTCAAATGTTTCCACGGGTGAAGAAAGTTGGAGGGATCAAGGACTCCACAGGTGACTTCAGGATGTGTGTTTTGTGTTTTCATGTGGATCAGGCATGATGCTCCTTCTGTGTAACGGTGCTTGTTGGTATACCTCTTGAAAGCTTTATGCTTTCGAAGTCCCGAGTGCCAAATAATATTAACATCATTCAGCAACTGAGGGAGGTTCTTGGGGTAAATGATTAGAAGGTTTACACCTACCTGGCCACTGTTTATGTTACCTTTGAATTATGAGGAACAAATTATGTATGTGCATGTGTGTGTGGGGCTGGGGGTGGCAGCTTTCCTTGAGCTCTTCTTTCTTCCTGTATCTCTTGAAAGCAGGCCCAGTTCCCCACCCCCAGGATCCCTTTGGTGTTAGAACACTGGTGGTGCGTTTAGATGGGGGAAGTTGAGTGTCAGAACCTGCTTCTCCTCATCTTGCCTCGAAGAGCGTGTGCCAAACCCTAAGCAGAAGGGTGGCGCTTTCCATACTGTCATCAGTACCAGCTGGTGTTGGTCACTTTTGCTTCTGCTCTGTTGGACACAATGACATTTAGAGGCTGATGGGGACAAGCCTGCAGATAATTGGACTTAATGTCAGTTTTCCTTGCAGAAAAAGCTACAAAAACACACTGTTCCACTTCTTTGGTTCTTCTTTCAGGAATCTAACTTAGCGAGGGTTTTACTATGCAAGTCCCCTCACCTGTGTGGAAGGACGAGAAGTTTAGAGTAACAGTTTCTTTAAACATGAGTTTTATTTTATTTTATTATTTTATTATTTTCATTTGTATGCCAAGATCCCTTGAAATAATTTGGAGCATGGCATCAGTGCCTACTGTGTTTCCATCAGGAGTGTGGCATCTGAGGTCTTAAGGCCAAAGCTGAGGGTCTCAGGCTGCTCTTCCAGGGTTCCCCAGAACCACACACCTTAGAGTTACAGAATCATAGAATAGTAGAGTTAAAGGGGCAAAGAAGGCCATAAGGTCCAACCTCCTGCTGTTGCAGGTCACCAGTTTAAACCATCTCACTCAGATGACTGTCCAGATGACTTTTTCCTGGACATCAACCACCCATTGTTTAGTGTTTGCAACCTTTTGTGAACCCCCCCCCCCCATTCTCAAAGGTTGAAATCCCACTCCTAAGGCTTAATTAGAGGCTATGAGAACTGAAATATGCTACCAATGCTGCTGGTTTTGACCTATGTGACTCCTTTCTCTTTGCCACTGGAATGTGTCTCCCAACAACTTGTCTAAAATTCAATTTGCCCTTTGGGTTGAAAATGGATCTGGATCCCTGCTATGTATGTACAGATGGGTTATTTGTGTGTGTGCGTTAAAAATTATGTCCTGCCATTTTCCCCTGTGGAATTCAGGCTAGTGTACTTGGGAGCCAAATGGGCTCCCATCTGAGCATGGACCAGACCCAAGACTCAGTGAAGGGGAAGCTGTGGCCCACCAGATGTTGTTGGATCACAACTGCCTTCAACAAAGCCAATAGTGAGGGATGGTGGAAGTTGCAGTCCTGCAACAGCTGGATGGCCACATTGTCTTCATCCATGGTTTAGCCTCAGCACAGTTGTTGCATCACGCATGCCTTCAGGAAGAACGTGTTTCGTCTTTAGCACGAATCCTTTTCTACCAGCTGTATAGGGTGGTCACTTACACATTGATAAAAAAGAGGAAGCACATCCTAAAAAAGAGGAGAACAGAGGACACCACTTTGCATAACTGCTTAGAGATTTTGTTATAGTAAGCCTCATTAAAACAGCACAAATAAATAAACAAATAATAAACAAATATTTGTACAAGCAACTATATATGCATGGGTGCAAATTTAGGAATAACAAGTATGATATAAATAGAAACCCAACATCAGTCTACATTCGGGTGCTTCACTGAATCTGTTGCTTAGGTACCAATCGTGGGTGGGCAATGTTAAGGCCTCTGCTGCTTGTCCTTCTTTGGGTTCTTTGACTTTATACCAGGTTTGGAGTGGACACCTCTCGAAATGGAAGACGCTTTCAAGCAGAGGAATGTACTTTTTAAACTAGAGCACCAGGTCAGATTGCCAGGAAATGCATTTTTAATATTGCTGTTGCGAGATTAGGATGAAAAAAAAAATCAAGGAAGGGAGGTACAGTGGCCACAGCATCTTCCACCGCTTCATTAGCACTAGAGTTGCATCCCCAGCCTTGGACTCCTCCAGAGAGGTGAGGCTATCCCAGTTTATGCTCACACTTGCTGGGAGGGGAGAGAACTAAGCCGAAAGAGATGGCAACTCACCTTAAGGCCACACTGGACGCCTCATGCCCAGGACTGAACTGGGCTCAAACTGAAGACACTATTCAGTACATCACAGAGGCTTTTACAGAACACAGTTTAGCCTGGCATGCAGCTCAGCGTGGGCTGAAAAAGTCATAAACGGATTGCAAAGCTGCTTCCTCTGATGAAGTTCACGCAGGTTGCTTTCTTCACATGACTGTGTGATGCCTCCCAAGAACTGATCACATGCCTGAGAAACTTCACTTTCGGTACCAAGCAAAACACTCACGTTGCTAGTTCACTCTGTGGTACTAATGTTAATTAAAGTGAACTCTTCAGGGAGATCAGCTATCTGAAGCTGAAATAATGGATGAAGATGCAACATTAGGCTAGGCTGAGCGGGAATTAGATCACCTGCACAGGCCCCGGGTAGTCCTTGCTCAAATCCACTTAGAAGGTGGGCCCAGTTTTTAAAGGATACCTGGCTGACATCATTACTGGTCTTTGGGCTATACCAGCTTTTCTCAGAACTAAATAGCTAGACCCAGTGTGTGAATGTGTGTGTTTTATGGAAAAGACAGTGCAAGATAGAAAAAGAGAAGGAGACTTTGTGCATGTTCATTATTATGACATGTACATCACAATTCTTTTGATCTTGCAAAGAATCCCAGGTGGCTAACATAGGCCTTCTCTTTTCTCTTTAGCCCTCACAAAAAGCTGTGAGGTAGGCTACATCATTGGTGGCTTTGGTCATGGCATGTGTGCAGAAATCTGTTCTGATGTTTCCAAATTATATTCCACTGATGTGAGAATTAGGGTTTAATGGTATCTCCTTACACATGAGTGTGTGTGTGTTCTCTCTCTCACACACACAATCTCTTCACCTTGATACTGAACACAATCGCTGTTGGGGAAATGGTGACATCAGGGTTAGGGTAGATGGGACCTTGAGGTCAGCACCAGGAGGCACAGTTCCATTATTGTTTCCACGTAGAGGAAGCTCCAGTGAACCCTTCATTGGTAGCAATGTGGAGGAGGGGTTGTAGCTTTGTGATGGAACAGGTGCTTTGTGTGCAGAGGGTTCCCGGTGCAATCCCCCACATCTCTAGTCAGGGCTGGAAAAACCTCCCTGAAGCTTGGGAAAGCTGCTACCAATCAGCATCAACCCTCAACAGTGGTGGTGCACATGGACCAGTGGCTTGACTCAGCTTCCTATGTTCCTAGCATTTCATTGAAACCAGGTGTGACATCCTCACATCCAGAGTTTTGCTCCTTCTGGCAATTGATAACATGGAGTGGCAAGACACTGGATGTGGCGATCTCATGGCACTCTTCTGCTTTAGTGAAATGCTATTGGGAAACCATGGTGGACACATGAGTTGCTACTGGCCATGGGTTTAAGGTAATTAGACCCTTGGTATTGAAGAGTTTTTGTTGAGAGAATAGTAGGCTTATGTGGCCTGGTAGCTCTTCCTTGCTTGCTTTGGGACATTAAAATGGGCACTTTTAGTTCCCATAGTATCTGGAAAAATGGGTGTTTCTGTGCTTTGCTCTGCAAAGATCAACCTTTCATCTCTTACCACATACATGGCTAAATAAAACTTCCTTCTCAAATGTACAGTTCCTTTTCTGTGATACCCATGTTTATGGAATGCTCTCTAACAAAGGTTGCCTGGTGCCAACAATATCATCTTTTTCTGTGCCAGGCAATTATTGCATTTGGGCAATAATTATGACCTAGTTGTTGTGGGCTGCTTTTGTGATGGTCATTCTTATGAGCAGGGAAAGATGTTGTGTATTTGTGGATGAACACTTTCCATATTTTATTTTTATTATGTTTTATGGTATTTATTTTCATTTGTATTATTATACTGATTAGGCCTTATACTGATATTGGCTTTCTCCCCATTCTATTGTTAATCATGGACTTTGCATTGTATTTTCATAGCTGAATAGGCTTCACATTATTGCTCAAAGAATGAACAATCTCAGAGTATTATAAACATTACATTACATTACATTACATTACATTTTATACTGCCTGTAGCCAAAGCTCTCTGGGTGGTCCACAACACGTAAGTCACCCATCCAGATTTCAATCCAGTCCAACTCTACTTAGCTTCCAAGATTACAGGGTGCAAAAATATTGCATGAAAACAGGGAAGCTGAGAATGTTTTATCAACTTTTTACTATCTGTATGTTATGTTGGGTAGAAACCAGTGGGGGTAGTTACCACCTCCCTGTTTTCTGTCCTTTTAATTCCACTATGCAAGCAATTGCATTGCAAGTCATCAATTGCAATGAACAATCAAGGCCACTGCTTATAGAAGGGAGATTTAGCTTTTTCTAGGGAAAGCCTTGGAATGAACAGAAATGTCCATTTTGGGAAAGAAGCAAGTCATGGAGCTCCCTTATGGAAGCTCTGCTGACCTGCCTTCTTCCATTTCTGCTTATTTCAAGTTGTCCCAGAAGTTCTGAAGTACAGGTGAGAAAATGTGGGCAACGCAAGTGGCAGAAAAGAACTGGGAGCAGAACTGCCCCACTGGCTTCTGTCTGAAGTTTCACAACAGATTACACATCTAGGAGGAGTGAAAATGGAAGTG